TATGAGAGGAAGAAATATTTGGAAGATTAATATATACCGACTTTTTTGGTTAAGAATTTCCCAAAATTTCTACCATTTCTTTTGCCTACACTTCCTCCACAAAAGTTGTTCCTCTCATCAAGAGCAATATTTCCATGTTTTTTGATTTCAAGAGGATGAGTTTGAAGTGAAAAAACAATGGAGGAAGATTTGTGGAAAGCAAGAACAAGTTAGTGCTTGGAGTAGAGGGATGAAAGAGCTTCATTTTGAGCTATGTTTTATAATTTTTGGTTTGGGTTTTCTTGAGTTGCGATGCTGCCTAGTTTTTCTAGAGATGATAAGGCTTGATATTTTAATGATTAAATAATAGGAAATGGCTTAAAAATGGTCATAGAGATGTTACTTATTGATTATTGATGAATGGTGGCTTGATTTCAAGCTTTATGTAATTTTTGGATGGTCATTTTTTAAGGGGAAATGGTGCCCAATTTTTCAAAGAATTAAGAATTGATTAGTTAAGTATTTAAGCATATGGAATATGATTTACATCCAAGCCTAAAGTTATGGAAAATAAGGCAAGAGTTTAACTAGAACTCCAAGGAAGAATTAGTGTTCAACTATCCTAAACCTTTAACTAGATTATGATTGGCTATAAGGAGTTGGAATTTGTTGGATATGAGATCAAAAATAAATTCCTCATGGAAAATTGAGTGGACAATGACCAAGATAATAATTTTAGATGTTAAGAATGAAAAGGTGGAATTTAAGTCAAAAAGAGGCAAGTAAAAATATTCTTGAGATGTTAATAGTTTCAATGGTCTTAAAGAGTTTTTCAGTTGATGTATGATGTTTATTTAGGGCCATTGGACACTGGAAGTGGAGGCCTGGACGATGAAGCTCCAAATATGAAAATAAAGGCAAACAAAGAAAAGCATGTTAGAAAGTTTAAAACAGCGAACTTTACCTTACTCTTATATGCTTGGCTGTTACTTGCGTTAATTGGCATGTTGTTATGATAATTATATGAAATCATGCATTTATATATGAGATTATGATTGAGACATATCATAGGCCTATGTGTGTATTCTTCAAGTAATGCATTGATAGTTAAAGCATGCCATTACGCCATAAAAGTTTTATTAGTTGCAAGCATGCTATCATGTCAAGCTTTGTCATATAAGTTTGAGTAGTCATGTTTGTTATTGAGATTCTCCCAAATCTCAACCCCAACGACTATCCATTTTAGGTTATAAGCTTTCAGAGAAAGAGTTATAGCAAAAGATAGAGAGATTTTTTTTTATGGCATTATTTTGCTAAAAGATGAAAGAATCATCATTAATTCTATGAGTTATGTAAATTTATGATGTGATCTTAGCGTGTATAAGTGATATGTGGTGAGGAATGATAACCAATTTGGTGTCCTGATCTAGCCTTGAAATTATAATTTTAATATGCAAGATTGGTGTTATCTAGTTTAAGCTCTTTTCAAAAGAAGGTTATTGTTTCATAGCTCATCATATAGTAAATTAAGTTTACTGTTCATGAGAATTTTTATAAGAAAACTATACATATAAATCTTTCCAAGAAATCCTAAACAAGATCATTTGGACTTGTAAAACTTGAGTTATGAATTCTTAAAGTCATGGCATGGATTCTATAAAAGAAACAGAGTAGATTTGAAAAATTGAATAAATTGTGCTGTGATTTGGTCTTTTTTATTTAATTTTATCAATTCAATCCTTAATATTTTATTCTGTTATCATATTAATCCTTTAAATTTTAAAATGCAAATTAGTCCTCCATATATGCTGACATGGAAATTTTATTGCTGATATGTAATATATACTTAGATAAATGAATACACATCAGTCTTTTTATATTTATATTTTTAATTTCTATTTTCCCTTCTAATTAGGCCACTTAGGGTGTTTTTAAAAAGCTCCAAAAAAGCTCACGAATGGCAAAACAATATTCAGCGAATCACGATGATGAAGTAGTATGGACAGTCAAAGACTGTGAACCAGCGTCGACGGTTGGGAAAGATGTTATTTTGCATATGTTTTATCTAGATTCTCGATCTGTATATGTGAAGCAACTATGATGTCCTTTAGTTTATTATTTGTGTGTGTGTGTGTATATATGAAGCATTTGTATATGCAGGAAGGTAAATATGTATTTAATTATATAAACTTTGTCCTTATATATCCCAAGTTGGAGTGGCACAAAAAAAAAAAAAAAAATTGGCCTCAACCTGAGGAATCGAAATTTGAAGGAGAAGACGAAGAATGAATTGAAAACCAAATGATTCACTTGTAATGCTGCCTTGCGATTGGCCTAGAGAGCCAACGATGAGACTTTTTCAATTTTCTCCCTTCGATTGTGCCCTATCCTAGTGGTGGTGGAGAGGTACGCTATGTTTGGTTTGAATAATTTCAATTCTTAATTCTTAGCGGTTTTTTTTTTTAACCTTATCCATGTCAGCTCCATACTTCTTTTATTAATCTAGGTGGCTGTCATGTCATAATTCCACCAGCCATATCATCATAATTTAACAGTGTTAGTTTCTTTTCAAAGCTTAAGGACTCCGTCAATATTCTCGTGAAACATAGATGATTGAATTGATAAAAATTAAATGTAAGAGATCAAATGGATTTAGACAAATATAAAAAACTGAAAATTGTATTATCCCAAATTTTTTATCATTTATTGGGTTTAGATTTAATTTAAATAATTTAATTTAATATTAAAATTTTTATTATTTTTATATATTGACAACCTAGATGGATTCTACACAGTCAAAATTTTAAATTTTTAACTAATAATTTTTTTAAAAAATATTTTATATTTTTATTAAATTTGAATTGTGAAGGGAACATAAACAGTCAAAATATAAAATTATAAAAATTTTAATATTGAATTGAATTACATTTAGCTAGTTAATATATAAAATTATAAAAAATTTAATATTAAACTGAAGCTTTCAAATTTAATTTAGATTTGGTTGATAATAAAAAGATTTATTAATTTTTTTATAATTTTATAAATTTTTATTTTAAGTATAAAATAATATATTAAATGACCATCCAGTCCAGATCTCATTGTGCTCAACTGCTCGTCGGAGCGCCCAAGGTGGATCCCTTTCAAACACATCCTTTTCTACGGGACTTTCCATGTTGATTTCATGATTCACTTTTTTCTAACTCTGCTTTTTGCTTTTTTCTTCTCAAAAGAAAGCTCATTTTATCATCTGTGTTTTTCTTTTTTCTTCCTTCCAAATTTTCACGACATAAAAAAGACACTGTTTTATTTGGTTTGAAATAGAGCATATCATGAGCAATCTTTTTGTTTTCCTCTGGGTATATACTGGGCTCTACCTTTAACCTGGGGGCATGTAGCTGTATTCGGTATCCTTATACTCACAAATTTGGGGCGTCTGACTTGCCTCCTCGTCTAAAAGTATCAGATTTTAAGCTACTTCTTTCCTGTCAGCTTTACGACCTTTCTCCTGCATTTCAGTCTGCCCTCCTCTGAGACTCATTTGAACCATCTATCTCTATTTGGAGGATCAACTAAATCAAACTTGTTGAGACCCTACATGCGACTCAGGAAATCTCCTAAGGTGTAGACGTTGAAACTCGTTCCTCATATAGAGTTCAAGGTTGGGTGCATTCAGTGGGATTTCTGATGAATCATGGATTTATTTTTGGGGGAAAAAAAGATAAAGATAAAAAATATTAAATGAATAAACTGATTTTGGGAAGTGCGGGATTGAAAGTAGCTAGCATGCTTCACGAGAAAGAGATTGTTCCTGATGAACTCGTTCAAAGTTTTTATTCTGGTAATGACTAGATAAGGCCATATATAAGTATCTTGCTTAAAAAATTGAACGAAAATAGATTTTTGTTGTTTTAATATACTTATATCATAATATTTTTAGTTATACAGATACAAAATGATATTAAATGATTGAGATTCATGTCGGCCCGTCCTTATTATTCACGTTCAATCTCACTTGAATTTATTATGCATGTACAGACGAGAATAGAGGAAGATAAATTCCACGTGTCCTCCAAGATTTCCCGCCATTCTCGGCCCAGGAAAACTGTCTTCAATGGCTTCTTGGGTTCATCGCCGATTTTTCTTTTCTTTTCTTTTCTTTTCTTTTTCAATTTTTTTAAATTTTCTTTTGCCCTGCGTCACGTTTCTGATTGTTGTTAGCTCAGTTTCATCGTGGCGTTTGGTCTCCAGGTTATCCACAATTTCTGTCGCTAGTAGGGGAATGCGTTATATATCTGGGTTCATTCCTCTTTTACCTTTTTGGGGGTTTTTAAATTTATTTTCCCCCAAATGATTCGCCATGAGTAATTAGAATAATGTTGAATGTCAATGAAAAAGTTGATTAGTATGTAAAATTATTTTGTCTAATTTCCCATATCATTTGCTTTTGAATTGACGGGTGAGAATTAAAAAGAAATTGAGGCATACTCTTCTGAGTCACGTTTAATTTCAATGTAATGCGTGAAAATGGAGACTACAACGTTGCTCTTTATCTCATTTTCCATCACTCCATTTTCTAATTCACCTAGCACACCGTTGATCTTTTCAGAATCCATGCACTTATTTCTAATGCTGAATGAGCAATCTATGTATCGTCATTTGTCAGTTATTTTGGTTCAAAATGGTGTTTGGCAGATGTACATCTTCGACACATTCTTCTACACTCTCCATCTTTTAAATGGCTCTTCTCGAAATTTCAACATGGACATGACTGTATGTTAGTAACATTATAACAATATCATGGAATGTGTATATTAGCTACGTGCAGTTTGTATATCATTATATGAAATGCTAGTTGCGATTTGGTTTCCATTTGTTCTCTAATAGTCCTCTAAGCCAAAAAGTAGTTCAATTAACGAGCCTTCAGTTACATGTCAGTAAATATATATTTCCCCCCGGTATATCTGACCAGGTTTCAGTGGCAGATGTCAAATTGTATCGGTTTAGGGAGATCGGGATATGAGAAACAACTAAAAAGAAATCTGGGACTTCGTGAAGATGATATGAGCAAAGGAAATGGATTTTAAGAGGTTCATGATTGAGGCACAATTGAATTTGGTGTTTGGTACCAGAGAAGGAAATATATAATGTAGAGAGCGTGCAACTGTCTGAATTTTTCACCAGTTGAAATGGATCGTAAAGTTGATCATCATTCCCAGAAGCCTCCAATCAAGGGAATCAAAGGCATAGAAGAATCAGTTTTCTTGCACGGGGACTTGGATCTACACATAATTGAAGCAAAAAATCTTCCAAATATGGATTTTCATACTGAAACCGTGAGAAAATGTTTCACTGCAGGAAACAATTGTGCACCTCCCTTTGTAAAAGGACTCAAGACACACTCTGGAAAACATAAAATGATCACTAGCGATCCTTATGTCTCTGTCTCTCTAGCAGGGGCTACTGTAGTTCAAACTAGAGTCATATCTAATTGTGAGAACCCTGTGTGGGATGAACGCTTTATTGTGCCAGTTGCTCACCCTGTTCAAAAAGTTGTGTTTCTCGTGAAAGATGATGACGTTTTCGGAGCTGAACTGATTGGAGTCGTGGAGATATCTGCCCAGAAGATTTTGTTGGGAAATACTGTTAATGATTGGTTTCCCATCATCGGCAATGGAAACTGCTTAAAACCTTATCCTGAGTTGCATATTTCTTTGAAGTTTGTGGCCGTGGGAGACAACGATCGGACAAGTTATTTTGGTGTCCCTAATACATATTTCCCCCTCCGGAAAGGTGGGAGTGTGACTCTTTATCAAGATGCTCATGTACCAATTGGTATGCTACCTGAAATTCTACTTGAGGGTGGAAAAGTCTTTAACCAGGGTAGATGCTGGGAGGATATATGCCATGCCATTTTGGAAGCTCACCATTTAATATATGTTATAGGATGGTCTATTTACCACCCTATAAAGCTTGTCAGAGAACCAACAAAACCTATACCTACTGGAGGAGAGCTTTCACTTGGAGAATTGTTGAAATACAAATCACAAGAAGGAGTCCGCGTGGTTATCTTGATTTGGGATGACAGAACATCGCATGACACCTTTTTTTTGAAAACGGTAATTTTAAGACATTTTTTATGGGTGAATTATAATGAACTATCTTCTGGAGTTTTACAGTAATCCTCGGTCATGGTATGATTAACTTTTAAGGTTCCTGAAATCTAATTTTAATATTGAACATAAACGGAAGTGCTTAACATTGTTGTATTGTGTACACCACCGGTTAGATCTAAACCTGGTGTGCTTTATGATAACTGATTTGTGTGATTGCAGGAAGGTGTCATGCAGACACATGATGAAGCAACAAAAAAATTCTTTAAACACTCCACTGTCCATTGCGTGCTATCTCCACGTTATCCAAGCAATAAACTCAGTATCTTCAAGCAACATGTATGTAATTCCCGCTTCCTAATTTAAATTATGTAGGACGAGAGCACTTGGCTTACTGCTGAATAACACCAATATCTTCTGATTTGCTGGAAGACTTCACGTTAGTTAATCCTCCTAAATGATAGATGCCATAGTGTTCCTTTTATTGTTTGTTCAAGTAGCATACATATTTAAGCTACCTCAGGCTAGGTAAGGTGGTTAGGGTGAGGTGGCATGTAAGTAAAGATCTAGAGTTCTGACCCTCCTAATATACTAAAGAAGGAGTACATATTTAATTGGATTGTTTGTTGCAGGTTGTGGGAACACTTTTTTCACATCATCAGAAGTGCGTTCTTGTTGACACTCAAGCTTCTGGGAATAATAGGAAAATAACTGCTTTTATTGGTGGCCTGGATCTATGCGATGGCAGATATGATACCCCTGAGCATCGGCTCTTCACTGATCTTGATACTGTCTTTAAAGATGATTTCCACAATCCTATACTTCCGGTAAGTGGTATAATGCAATAACGATTCTCTTAATTTGTCAGTGCAAGCAAGGAAAGTCTAAAAACTTGAATCTACTAATGCATTTTTGTCAAGAGAAAAATGTCATGCATTTTTTTTTGTTTTGGTACAAAAATAATTATGAGAATAACGACTTGACTAGAAAGGTTAGATATATGAAGAATGTTATCCTGATTTAATCTTGGCGTAGTTCCCACTCTATCCCTCCCTAAAAATGGTGAACATGGCAGACGATTCTTTTGCCAAGTAGCAGCTAAAGTAATGCAGGAGTACAGGAAAATAATATGAAGAACTACAATCGGAAGCTTGGTGAAAGTGGGAAAAGGAGTGAACAGATGGATACGAGAAATATAGGATGCTCACAAACTAACTGACCTTTTTGGACTGAAGAATTTGAGATTATCATCAAATTTTTCTTTGACCTTCACTCAGCTTAAACTTTTGTCAAGGAAGTGGTCCTTGACATGGTATTAGACCTCTTATTACTAAGTGGTCTAGAGTCTGTGTACATAACCAGCTTGTCAACCCAAATCTGAGGCTGATGATCTCCGATGGCTACTTCTTCAAATCTCTCAAAAATTTGGTTTCTTGCACATCTTTTCTGGACAGTTCAGATTTTTTTAAATTAAGAAAATCGGGACTGTCCTCATTAGATGCACCCTGTGCATCTCTAAAAATTTGCAAGTGGTATATTGAATCCCTTGGCCAGGCTGGTTCTCTAAAATAGGTTTTTCCAATTTTAGGCCCTGCTGATCTGCATTCTCATTGCTGCTTTTCCTGTCCTTTGGGTATTTATACTTCTGTTCATTATTTTATTTTCTATTCGTCTTGGGTCCCTTCCTTCCCTTTTTGGGAGCTTTGGCCTGTGACTTGTTACATGTAGCCTTCCTGTTTATCTTGCTTCTGTTTTTTCTCCAATTCAGAGCTTTTATCAATGAAATACCAGCATTATTCACAGTTTGATACTTGCCTTCTCCCATTTTCTTTATTGAAGTTTGGTTACAGTTCATCACAAGGAATGGTGTGGCCTTTGATTTATCACTTATTCGCTTTTTTTTTCTTTTTTTTGGTATCACTTATTCACTTAATCCACATTTCAAGAGCGAAAATGTATACTGATAAATGGCCATGTTTGTGATGATGAGAAATCAATTTTGGGCTTTCACTCCAGATCATAAACTTTTATGTGATTATTAATAGCAATTTGGATCTGCAAGAACAAGTGGTCTAATCGAGTTCTCTTAAAATTTAATTTCAGTTCAAGGCACGGGAGATATGTGGTTTGTCTTTTCTGCTTGAATTACATGGTTCTTGGCAAAGAAGATACTAGAGAGGAGGATACGGTATACTCCTATAGTGAAAAGACCGAATATTAAGAGATTAGGAGAGAGAATTTAAACTAACACATGCAGCAATGCTTCCTAAATCTTCTGTCAATTCTTGGAGTAGTTATGTTGAAATGAAAAAGTTTACTTTTGTTAAACAAAGAGGGCCAACAAAGGGCAATAGGATTCCAATTAATGTGAATTAAAAAAAAAAAAAACCAGGAATATAGACTATCGACTTTTGTCTTTGGGCATGTCAATGTGCTGATTTTGTCTCTTGAATTAGAGAATTAGACTACCCTTAGTTTTTGTCTTTATATTTGAAATCCATTTAGCTGCAAACAATAGTGACTTGACTGGCCAGAGTATCCAAGTAATTTGCAGTTAAGCAACTCTGTATGACTTTGTATTGCTTTATAAGGTGATTTTGTGTATTGATTATTAAAAGAGCTGACATTTTCATCATTGATGACAATGTCAAAGCAAGAATTAGCACCAGGAAAGGAAGGAAAAGATTATTTAAATGGAAATTTGCAAAAAGTGATATTGATTTAGTTTTTGTGTATTATAGTCGAGTTATACTGGTGGACCAAGAGAACCATGGCATGACTTGCATTGCAAAGTTGAGGGGCCAGCTGCATATGATATATTAACTAATTTTGAGCAAAGATGGAGGAAAGCCAAAAAATGGCGTAACATAAGGCTAAACAAGGTTACAAATTGGCGTGATGATGCCTTGCTTAGGCTTGATCGAATATCATGGATTGTCACACCATCTATTCGTGTTGATGATGATACAAATGTTCACGTAACTCAAGAAAACGATCCTGAGACTTGGAATGTGCAGGTGTGCACAAAATATGCTGATAGAAATCAATGAATAACACCATATCATCCTTTATAAAATCCTATAATTACAAGCCAGCATTAATTACAGGTATTTCGGTCCATAGATTCAGGATCTGTCAAGGGTTTTCCAAAGGACGTTATGGAAGCTAAGGCTCAGGTGAGAAGAAGGTTGCACAAAAACAATTTTGCTTTTTTGTTCAAATTATTCTTTTTGTCCTTCGATTTTCACTCAGTTTTTAATCTGGTCCTATTGTGTATAAATTTCTAATTAAATCCTTATAATTATGCAATATTTTTTTTTAAATTCCCTACTGGCCAAAGTTTAATGATAGAAATTAAATTAAAAAAAATTAAAACTCTAAGAATTCGGATATAAGTTTTCAATCTACAAAGACCAAATTAAAGATTGAAGGAGACTACAAGGACTAATAATAATTTAAATGAACCCAATTTTTATTTTCTTTATCTGTTAGTGCCTTCTTGATTTTCTACTTCTAATCTTGACTGTTTTCAGAATCTAATCTGTGGAAAAAATTTGAAAGTTGACAAAAGCGTTCATGCTGCTTATGTATATGCAATAAGATCAGCTCAACGCTTCATATATATAGAGAATCAATATTTTCTTGGATCCTCATTTCATTGGCCTTCCTACAAAACTGCAGGTATATGAAGTGAACCTTTTCAATATTATGGCCTTTATATTAGACATACAATGACTTTAGTGATCTCGTCTTTTTTTACTCGTGATTTTGTTGTTCTGAACGTCCAAGGCATATAAGGTGGAATGGAAAGAAATATAAAAAATGTTTGGATCATGGAATGTTAGCATTTTTATGAATGGAGAATTTAGTATGATTTGAGTTTTTATATGTAACGTGGGGTTATTAGGGCGTATTTTAGTAAATTGGAACTTTTTGGGATAGATCAAGTATTACTATTCAGTTATCACTGAGTTGGATCTGGAATTGAGACTTCTGTTGAATTCTACTCTCTTCTCTTTTTCTAAAATCTCCTCCTCTTTCTTCTTGCCTCAAATCTTTCTTCCATCATTCCTTTTGTTATTTACATTAACATCAGTACCGTATTATGAAGATATGATTGCCCATATCTGAATGTCTGGATGCTTTGTTTTTTTTTTTTTTGGGGTAAACTTAATGTGTGGGTGCTTTTAATTTGTTTTAAAACATAATTCTATTGCTACCTGTTGCTCTAAATTTGTAGAAAAATGAACAGGGTCTAGACTTGGCCAATTCTATTGGTATTTCTTGATCTACATTATGAGATACTCCCACTTCATAAAGAAAACATGGTTTCATGTAACTCACCTTTAACCGGTGTAAAATCTGGCATCGATACCTTTTAGCTTATTGTTTTCAAGTGTACTAGGTAATTTTGAATATAAAAAGGACCGTTGAAGATCTGGTCAATGTTGTAGTTTTCTTCCCCCTGTTTCATCATGATTTTCTTTAGTTACTCAGAGCCTACACATAAACTTTTCTCGTGCTGGGGTTTAAAGGCACTGCATACTTATGCTTTCCTGTGTTTACTTAATTATTTGATCTTTCCATATACACATTTCTGTGGTTCTTATGAGCATATATTTAGGGGATCACATTTTATGTGTATTACTTCAACAGGTGCAAATAACTTGGTTCCTATGGAGTTGGCTTTGAAAATTGCCAGCAAGATCAGTGCTAAAGAACGTTTTTCTGTGTATATAGTGATCCCCATGTGGCCAGAAGGGGTTCCATCTAGTGCTGCTGTACAAGAAATATTGTTCTGGCAGGTCAGACCAATTTTTAATGTGTTCACTGGCTAAACATTTTTCAGGTCAACAAGTCCAGTTTGCGCCCTATGGTCATGATTGGCTGAGGCTGCGCTTGGTTTTTCCTTGATCTTAGTACTATTAAATGTATGATAGCTCCACATTGAGTAATTAGAAAATTAATCACAACTATATAAATGTGTGGTGAGTTCTTCCAAATTAGATTAAGCTATTTTGGTGTAAGTGACAAGCCTTAATTTGTGACTAATGTAGCAAGCAAAATATTATATGTATGCTTGTCCCACATTGAGTGATTAGAAAATTAATCACAACTATATAAATGAGTGGTGAGGGGGTGATGTCAGTAAGTCTTATGTAATTGTGGTGGGAGATGTTGGCAAATAATAATGTAAAGCAGAATGCAATAGCACTTGCGAAGAACGAACATATAAGTATTTAAGAAAAGACTTGATTAAATTTCCCATTTTGATTTTTGGTGAATGTTTATGAAGACGAACAAATCCATAAGTGATAAAAATCCACATGCAACTTTAGGTGTTTCTTACAACCTTTGTATATGAAATTTGAATGACTGCAGGGACAGACAATGTCTATGATGTACAGGATTGTTGCTGATGCCCTTAAAAAGGCAGGTCTCGCTGACCGCTGTCACCCACAAGATTATCTCAATTTTTTTTGCCTTGGAAAGCGTGAGCCTCAAATTTCTCCAAGTCCATCACCGGCATTTCATACAGCTGAAAGCCGTGCTTTGGTATGCTACACTCCCCTCATTTATTTTGATCAAACTATTTGAATCATATGCAGTTATGATCACTGAATTTGGCGCCAAGTTCAAGCAGTTAATTCATATCTAAGTTCGCTTCAAAAGTTTGTTGTTTTTGCGTTTATGAATTCACTGATACATTGCAATATTGCATTCTTATCTCTTTGCTCACAAGCAATCTATTCTTTAGAAAGATAGAAGTTGGCATTGTCATTTCGTGCTGGTTTTACTTTGTGTATTGCTGACTACTAAACTTTGGCCACCAAAAGCTGAATCAGTCTTGTAAAATCTGATTTATTTGGGAATTCATAACAGTTCTTCCCCCTTGATTTTTGAGGGAAATCAGTTTTATTTGGGTTTTAATCCTTCATATTTTGGCCCCAAAATGCAAACATGGTTTTTGGAAATTCTGTATTCAATATTCAGCATACTTAGTCACTTACATATATGACAGAGAAGCTGCAAGATCGTCATTATTTTTGAGGAAAATGAAAAAATCACTTACTATGTGCAAATATATTTGCAGGCTTCTATAGATTTTAACTCTTTACAATATCAACTTTTGTATTTCTACTCCAAAATTTTGTAATATTCTGTTGAGTCTTTTTTTAACCACTTTCCTTAAGCAGGCTTCGGTGAAAAAATTCAGACGGTTTATGATCTATGTTCATGCCAAAGGAATGATAGTTGATGATGAATACGTACTCATTGGATCTGCAAATATTAACGAGAGATCCTTGGATGGTTCAAGGGATACAGAAATCGCAATGGGTGCTTATCAACCAAAATACACAAAGAAAGCAAAGAAGACTCGTCCGCATGGCCAGGTTAGAATTCTCTGGCTCTCTTTCTTTTATGGGGTGGTTTGTGCCACCGTAGCAATATTGGCGATTGTTCATGGTGACCCTTTTAGTCCTAGATAAAAAATTAGAAGTTTTGCTAAAGTTAAACATGTATAAATCTAGATGCTTTCTAGTCACTAATTGATTACATATAATACCTTTAGAGAGATAGAACAGAAGAAATGAATGTAAAGAGTGGAAGTGAGCATTATTCATCCCTTTACGTCATTATAATTCTGATTCTCAATGCTTGATTACTTGATTGTAAAGGATCTAATTTTTTACTACATCCTTGTAAGCTTATCTTACTTCATGTATTTTTGCCCTTTCTTTTCCTTTTCTTTTCTTTTTTTTTTTTTTTTGATGACACAAGTCATATATATTCAGAGACTCAGTCTCTAAGATAGGATATGATTAAGGGAGAATGATATTTGGGTCCCTTGTAAGGAAATTATTGATACTTTGTCATCCCTGTTTAAAAAAAAAAGTTGTTAATATATTATATAATATTGGATAAAAGTGCAAAAATACCCACAAAATAGTCAGCCAAGGACACCTAATATCTTGAAGTGAGAAAAAGGGCAAAGGTACTCATAATATTACATGAATGGGTGCAAAAGTGACCAAACCGTTAACTTTGAGTGTTAAATGTTGATTGTGCATGCCACGTGTCAGTCTTTGCTGATGTGGATTAATAAAGGGACAAAAATACTCATGAAATTGTCAGCCAAAAGCAAAAATACCCATAATGTTACTAGAATTGGTGAAAAAATGATCAATCCATCAAAATCCATGCTATATGGTTTTTTTTTCATCACCATGTATCTTGCCTCCTTCCTTCTTCCCTCTCCACTCATTTTTCTTCTTCCCTACTTTAAGAGCATTGTCACAACCTTAAACAATTTCATTCATGATAGGTTCAAAATTTTCAAATGGTTTTCGCCAATACTGCAAAGAAACAAGTGATTTAATTTGATATTCGCTAAAAAAAACATTTCTCACATGATATTCATACAATGACCGATTAACCTCTAGAGAATTTTATCTGGGAATTTTTTTTATCCATATCAGTGAAAAAATGATCAACTTCCGCTTAGGTGTCAACTAAATAGTCAACATTTAAGGGATTTGATGGATCAGTCATTTTGCACCAACTTTGATAACGTTATAGATATTTTTGCTCCTGGTTGACAATTTCGTGGGTATTTTTGCCCCTTTATTAGTCTACATCAGCAAAGACTAACATGTGACATGCACAGTCAGCATTTAACGGTCAAAATTAACAGCGTTAGGTTAAAGTTAATGGTTTGGTCACTTTTGCACCTACTCATGTAACGTTATGGGTATTTTTTTCCTTTTTCTCATTTTAGGACACTAAGTGCCCCTGGTTGACCACTTTGTGGGTATTTTTGTCCGTTTACCCTATAATATTTATCAATCTCAAAAGACTCATGTATTTAAGGATCACAGAGTTAATAATTTCCTTACAAGGGACATGAATGTTATTCTTCCTATGATTATTCACATCAACAAAATTGAATGGAACATTAGTTGATGTTTAATGTCTTTTCTAGAAATCAATGAGGATGAAATTATAAATTCTAGAACAATAGAAACAACATTAAATATTAACTACAAAGACCAATGTCCAAATAAGGTATTGCAGATGTATATATGTATCCATACAATCATGCATAATGGAATTGAATTTCAATTACTGGCAGTTGTATACTTCTTTATATAGATCTCTGTTGCTATGCATGTAGGTTACTAGTGAGAAGGATTGAATTTAACGAAATAATTATAAGTAACATTACTGTTAATAAAATAAGAACTGGAGTAACAGGGGAGAGAATCCTAGGGAGGAGAACAAATTCAGAGTAGTCAATTATAAGAAACTCAGGATTTGGATTCTGTGACTTCACTTAATATAAGTATTGAGTACTTGTACCATTTAAATCGTTAAAATCCAGATCAATAGTTATAAATTTATACTCTACTTGATATTTATAAATAAGTGGGTTTATCTGAATCGTTGATTTAGATTTCAACGACTTAGATGGTACAAGCACTCAATACTTATGCTAAGTACAGTCACTGAATCCAAATTCAAGAACTCAAGTGATAATTGTTTTAATCTCTATCATCAATGTACAACAGGATTGAACTACAATATAGTTATTTTGTTTTCCTTGTGTTCATATTTGGGACAATATCGTACATGAACATCTACAAAAAATTATTTGAGGGTCCAAATTGACGGGTAAAAAACTTGACACCACAACTTTACTCAACTAAACAAATAAAATCTTGTGGGACTTAGCCTTCTATTCATACCTGAAGGCTTCATTTGTTACTTAATGGAAAAAGGATTCTGTTGCATGAAGAATGAGGCATGCAATATCTGTTAATATCCTTATTATCATTACTTAACAATAACTATAACTTTTTATTCATCTAAAAAGGTTTTTTTTTTTTTTTGGGTCCATTCCATTCCATGGAGTACTTTCTTCAGTTACAATTCCAACAAAAATTATAATGATGTAGGTGTATGGTTACCGAATGTCACTGTGGGCTGAACATCTGGGCAGTGTTGAAGATACTCTTGATGAACCGGAGCCTGCAATGTGTGAGATATGTCAACAACGTTGCCGAACGGAACTGGGCTGCATATGTATCTGATGATGCAGGGATCATGTGGGGACACTTGATGCAGTATCCAGTTCATATCAGCGCAGATGGGACAGTCAGTGCACTTCCAGGTCATGAGACCTTTCCTGACGTTGGTGGTAAAATTCTTGGATCCCCCAACTCTCTCCCGGATGCACTAACCACATGATCATGAGCACAGATCCCTTTAACATGTGAGGATCTTAAAGTTTTCTAAAGTGAAAAGAGAAATAGAATCATAATAGTGAGTTTCACTGTTATAACTCATTGTCAAGTGTCTATCTCTCTCCGAACTTGTGAAATCAATTTAAGGGATCCAATTTACATAATTGTTAACCAAAACATGTCATGTGGAGACGGGCGGGACTTATAGTTCAGAGAATTAGAGCACATGGCTATGCAGCAAACTACTGGTCCATTGTGGCTCCCGAGAATGACAGTCCCTAAATTACCAGCAAAATGAAAGCCTAGTGATTTTAGAAATGTTTTGTTCAGAAATGTATATTGTGTGTAGCATTAGGAATGTGCAGTTCTGCTGCTAAATTATCCCCTTGTTCTGTGAATTGAATATTGATGACTATATAAAGAGGGGGAAAAAACTAATTGAAAAAAGAGAGAGATATTGTGACTGAAAAAAAGAATTCTTTTGTCTTTTTGATATATCAGGAGGGTTTGAACTTTTATGTTTTAATAAAAAGAAATACATGGGACAAACATTTAGTAGCGTTACAAAATGTTCAATAGATACTGCAAAAATATATTTTCACCTTTTCTGAAGCACATCTAATGGACTTTTAGGAATTAATTTTCTCTTCACTGATCCATCCTGAGATCTTTGAGTTTTTGATTGACAAGATACTATTGGTTAATAATAATAATAATAATAATAATAATAATAATAATAATAGGTTTAATAGCTCTAAAAGTCCATTTAAAAAAAAGTGATTTTACAAAATAAAAAATATTATTTTGTTTTATGTTCGCATTTTTCTCAAAACCAAGGCTAACATCTAAAACCATGCTTAACAAGAACTTTTAATTTAAAAAAATCTTGAAGATTTGCTGATAGTGCACATCTTTATCTTATCTTATTTTTCTTTTGATTTGGTGCACATCTTTTTTTTACCCTCAAATGATCTAAATATTAAAAGGATAATGGTACAGAAACCGAATGGGAGAAAATATACTTTGATTTCTTGCTTCAAAACATGATGCTAGTACACAGAAACACTCTCCTATTTATACTATTCTAAGTCTTGAACGGAATGAAGGAAATAAATGATAAGTTACAATTGCTTTATTATTTGTGTTAATGGTGGTGACCCAATAGACAACGATTTCTACTCTTCCACACATGTCTTCCCATTCCTTCATTGCTACTGTTGTTCTGTTTCATCCTCCCCAGGTTGAACGAAACTCGCCCTTGAGTCAAGTTTGACATCATTGTCAATGTAAGGTGATAGATCAGCAATATTGAAGGTGGCAGACACTCCATAAGAACCAGGCAATTCTACCTTATTAGCATTGTTGTTGATTTTTTGCATAATCTTAAATGGACCATCAGCTCTTGGGGATAGCTTGGTATCTTGTTGTTTAGGAAATCATTCCTTTCGTAGATGTATCCAAACCAAGTCTCTTACATTAAAAGTTTGTTGTTTTCAATGCTTGTCACGTTAAGCCTTGTATCTCAAATTCTGCTTTTAGATTCGCTCATGAACTTGCTCATGCAACTTCTTAATTTCCTTAGCCCTTTAGTTAGCATCAGAACTATATTGCTGCTTATCAAGTGAAGGGGTTAAGTCTAGCGGACTAAAAGGATGAGTGCCGTAAACAACTTCAAACGGGCACTTCCCAATTGCTTGGTTGACAGAGTTATTGTAAGCAAATTCAACTTAAGCAAGAATGAGGTCCCATTATTTCAAATTCTTCCCTATGAAATTGCAAAGAAAATTACCAAGAATTCTATTTATAGCTTCAGTTTGACTGTTTGTCTAGGGATGACTAGTGTTGCTAAATTGAAGCTTAGTTCTCAACTTCTTCCATAGCGTCCACCAAAAGTGGCTGAGAAACTTCACATTTCAGTCATAAGTGATAGTCTTGGGAATGCCATGAAGACAAACAATCTTTTTAAAGTATAAATGTGCTACTTGAACAACATCATTGGTCTTTTGACATGGAAAGAAATGGGCCATTTTTGAGAAATGATCCGCAACTACCATGATCAAATCTTTTTACCTAAGTTTTTGGTAAACCCAAACAAAATCCATACTTATATCTTCCCAAGGTGCTTCTGGAATTGACAAACGCATGTATAACCCATGTATTCTGACCCTTGGATTTGGCCAAGTGGCAAATTCTGCATTTCTGTATGTAATGACCTAGAATTTAATGATATTAAAGTTTATGATAAGGTATTTTAAATGTATTTTTATTAATTTTATAACAAATATGATAAGGAAGATGGTGCTAGCTTAGTAGAAAAACTTTCTTGGTGGCTACCTTTTGGATCCTCAAGGAAGAGTTGGGTTTTATTTTTGTTTTAACTTTTGTGAAATTACTAAAATGCCTTTCACTTAACCATCAAATATTTTTTTCTTCCCTCTTCTTTTCCAATTAGTCTCACATTTTATTCGTGAGAAAGGTAAAGAATATATTTCCAGAAGCTTCGAGTCCTGGTTTACCGTCTTCCTCAGTCTGTTGTCATTAATATTGATGTGGATGCATCGGTGGTTTATGTTTGTTCCCTTTGTCCAATGTCAATCCTCATCTTCCCTCTGTCCATCACATCTCCTCCTTTGTTGTTCTTCTATTATGATGGTTGCTGTAGGATCTCCTTCGAGTAGCAATGTTGCTTATTCTTGGGTGGTCTAGTGTCGTCACTGTTTTGGTGGCCATAGGGTGTGCCACTCTTTCCTCTTCTTCTCCAGCTTCACGCAATATCTTCTCCTTCCTACTCACTCTCTATCTTTGTCTGTCTTCTTCAATAGCTACTCTATCTTCAGCGTTCGTGTTTGAGTTACGGATGGGGTAAGAAACCAAGTCGCCGGAGCCATTAGCAGTGCTGTCGCAAGCTTGGCCTGGTGTTGTTGATCCAATTTCTTTCCCTTATTGCGAACTGCATTCAGTTTTCGCTCTCCCCTGTTCAACCATCTAAATCATCTCTTTCTCATTGCTCTTTGCCATAGAGATCTAAGGATGTTTGGAAAATGAGAGTTTGATTGAAGTTACGAGAGGTGAAATTTGATCTCTTGAGAATTTCAAGTAAGTGGATAGCGTTCCAACTGATATTCCAATAAAATTTCCTTTACTAAAATATTATATTTTTATACAAATCCTTTTTACAACAATAATATGATTATTAGACATTTTGTTGATTAAAATACTTTACTTTGTGAAGTTATCTTTATTAAATTTGATAATTTTAGTTTATCAGTTACTTTGTGAAGTTATCTTTATTAAATTTGATAATTTTAGTTTATCAGTAAATATAAGTTTGGATTCTAATTATAGAATTTTATTTTGAAAATTATTGAATTGCTATAAAAAATGATTCATGTGAGTTCGATATTGAAAATAAAAGTTTATTCAATAATGATTATTTTCTTCCATGTTTGATATTAGTTTGAAAGGAACTTTATACTGAACACTGGTTGCTAATAGCAATTCTGTTAGCCCTTGGCGCGCCATGGTCAATAACTGGCTAATTTGATTTTCATGATCTTTATTCTCACGTTTGTTATCCGTGGGTCTTGTACTCATGTTTGTTTTTGTGGCTTCAAGCTGTGTTTGGTTAGCGTTACCCTCGTGGACTGTGTGTTCATATTTGTTTCGTGGCTTTGGCTGTGTTTAGTTAGTATTACCCTCATGGACTGTATATCCACATTTGTTTTTATGACATAAGCCATATTTGGTTATTTACTCTTGTGGATTATGTGTCCACGTTTGTTAATTATTTTGATAAGTCCCTATAATTATGAATCCAATTATTTGATGATTTTATATTACATTGATTTTTATTTAGTAATTTATTTATAAATATTTATTTCATTTATGTGCTTTCTTAAAATCAAGTAATATTATCATTTGCTATGATAGTTCAATGATTTGAGATTTTATTTAAAATTTTCTAGAGCCATTTTATTATGAAGTTTATTAAATTTTGACAAAAATTATTGTCTATTTAACATACATAACTATTTCAAACTTTTTATTTTATTTATGTTCTATTGTTTGTTGTTGGGATGTTATTCACTAAAAAATTATTTTTAGTCTCAAATACCTTAGTCGACATTGATCTTCCTGCTGATCCTTAAGTACTTATAGATAGGTGGAGGATTGATTGAAATTTTTCGTTGATGTAATTATAAATATTTATGTATCTTATTTTTATTTTATTTGTGAAAAGTATAGTTAGGTGCTCCACACAAGTTATAACTAGGACTTTTATTTGTATATATATGCTTTCTCTCAGCTAGAAGGAGCTAAGCTCTTGATTTATTTGATATTTTGACTGCATCAATGTATTGCAAAAAGTTTGCGAGATTTCATTTACAGCGGAGGTTCTATCAAAATTTGTATGAACATATTGAGACTTTATTATAATTATTAGTGTCAAAAGTATTATAATTTCAATATAAATCTAATTTCATTTTAGATATAGAATGAATTTATGATTTAAGGCTTACGGGAATGTGTGAAATGGTTCACATCTTGTGCTGGTTGCTCTCATTTGGGGCGTGACATTATATATACTTGTTGACATCCCGTTCAAGTCGAGGCTAGTAAAAGTTCTCCTTTACTAAGTCAACTATTTTATCTCATTTGAAATGTCTAGCTAATCTATCATCATGTGCTTCCTAAATTATGTGGAATATATAGGGCTTTTCCTCAAAATAGAAACCCGTCATGTCTGTAGAACTAGTGAAAAGGTTGATTTGCAGTTGCTTCCCACACTCCTAAAAAATCAAGATCATCCTGATACAACTCTTTGACAAAGTCAAACCTAACAACTTTGGTCTGCATTGTTGTGAGCAGCATATGTCGATGACTAAGAGTATCAGCTATGGAGTTTAAAGTTTCAGCATTATGCTTAATAAGGAATGGATAAAACTGCAAGATTTCACTCCAACTTGTATACTTGTAGCTGATCTTCTATTGAAAATTTAAATA